AAAGTATATAGTACTTACTGCTATAATCACCATATCCATAGTAGTTGTTGTAACCAGTGTAGTCATATCCTCCATAACCACCGTAACCTTGGCTGTTATATCCATAGTTGCCATAGCCTTGATTCCAATAGTTACTATATCCCTGGTTCCAGTTTTGACTGGGGCCTGCAGCACATTAATAGGTTCACTAAAGTCAGAAGATCAGCAAAGATCTTTACTTCAGGATAATTAAACAGCAGAAAAGCTTTAGACAAACTTAGGGTTTAGCTTACCACCACCTCTTCCACGAGCTCTTCCTGCAAATCCTCCTCTAGATCCCCACTGTTGCTGTTGCTGATACTGTTCCTTTGACATAGCTACTTTTATTTCACACTGAAAAAGAGGAATCACATTATTATACTGACTCAAGAAAATAGTTATTCAGCAATAACTTAAGCCAACTCTTAAATAAGAGTTGGGTTCTTTGGTACTTTTTTTAAATCAATTAAACCAGCTTTATCAATTGTATCACTTCTGATGATCTGTAATGACATACATTACTTCTTTTAGTTGCCAGGTCCTAAAAAACATTTCTGGATAAAAGTCAAGACAAAAATTCACTTGAAAGTAACAAATCATTCCATCCTCCTTCTGCCCAATAAAAACAAAGGTGATCAATGACACTGATAAAGAGCCAATGAGATGTCTTGAAAACATAAGCAGGGAAACTGAAGCCCTTACACAAAGCTAAACCATTCAACTACACTAGCTAGTTTTCTCTACAAGTTAATAGATGTTTAACTTACTTTACTAAGACCAACATTATGGTATTTCTTTTCCATTATCTTCTTCACTGGTTCTTCTTCTTTAAAGGTAATAAAACAGAATCCACGCCTCTTATTGGTCTTGTTGTCCATGGGGAGCTCTATGGATTCCACCTGACATAAAAAAAAAAAGTTTTAGTGTGCATCTATTGAGATTTAAAGCACAGGTTTAGAGGGGAAAAACTGTGTAAGAAAACATTTGGTCATTAAGCTCTATTGTTTTCTCTCCACCTGCTTATTTTAATTATTAGAAGACACTTTTGAGTCAGTGTATCTATTCTACCAGAAGAGCCTTCAGAACTACTTGTAAAAAAACAAAACAAAACAAGCTTGACCAGGTACTGACTGACATCTCTGCTACTTCCTTAAGGATCACAAACCCAAATGCCCATAAATAAAGTGTTCATTTTAAGAAAAACACAGAATGTTTGCATTTGGGAGAAAGTAGGGAAGGAAAATGTTGAGGACTACTGCAAGCTAGACAGCATATGCCCAAATTAAAGGAAACTGTCACTCATATTAGACTAGCTGGTGCCATTTCAGGGAAGGCAGCAGCTATTCCAACACTGCCTGCTCTTGCTTAAGCAAAGCTAGAGAGCCAAGGCCACTACATCCTAAGCTTAGCTCTGAACAATACATAAAAGGAACCTGGAAGCTGCCACCTGCAGCACCAGCACCTCACACGGGCACCAGTTCAAGTCCCAGTTGAGCCACTTCTCGTCCAGCTCCCTGCCAATGCATCTGGGAAAGCAGCAAAGGATGGCCCAAGTGCATGGGCCCCGGCACCCACATGGGAGACCTGGAAGTAGCTCCTGGCTTCAGCCTGGACCAGCCCTGGCCGTTGCAGCCATTTGGGAAGTGAATCAGAGGATGGAAGCTCACTCTGTGTCTTTAAAAAAATAAATCTTAAAAATAAAAAAAAGGAACATTATCTATTTCACTAAGTCTATGATTAGTCTGATTAAATTTGCACTTTCTCTTATACATTTCTCTCACTAAATAAAAAGCTTAAAAGCTTACAAAAATTAAAAAAAAATTTGTACTTAGGCATTTACTTCATTGAAAAAGCACTATACCTTATTCTTAATTCATTCCTTTCCTGTTAACAAAACTGTTTTCTTCTATAGCTTAACTCAACCTACATTTCTTCCTGCATTCCTTCCCTTGTTATTTTTATTCCTACTCATCTGGTAAACTCCTTCAGATAAAAATGCTTATCTATTTCTTTTCTGTGTACCCTATGCCAGGCAATATTTTGCATCCACTAAGTGTTCAGTTAAAAAAAAAAAAAGAAACCACAATCATCTGACATTCAAAGATCTGCTGATAAACTATTTTCAACATCCAAAACCAATCACATGATCTGACCTAACTTTGAATACGTTTGCAAAACCCAGTGACTTCTGAAGCTACTTAACCTGACAATCACATTCATACTATGTGGACATAACTGGGTCAAAACATTTATAACATACCTCACCAAAACCACCAAAGTACTCTCTTATTTTCTCTTCAGGTGTATCTGGAGAAAGTCCACCAACAAAAATTTTTTTAACAGGTTCTTTTGTTTTCATGGCTTTGGCCCTTTTAGGATCAATCACCTTCCCATTCAATTTATGTTCTTTCTGATCCATGACCTAAAGAAATCAAAGTTTTTCATTTTTAAATATGTATAACTTAAGTAAGAATATTAACTTATTTTTAAATATAGCTAAAGCCAGGCATATGCTGACTAAATTACAATCCATCAGGGGAGAATGTGACATAAGCTAATGTGATCTTTTATCATTATTTAAATCTAAACGTCTGTAAATATTAGGAGAGGCAAATTTAGCCAATAGTTAGCCATCTCCTTCAACTGCCAGGAACATATACAAACATAGTTGCTACTTCCCCTTAGCCCAGGACCAAAAGTCAGTCAAAAGGTGCCTCCCTAACAGAATTGCAAAACATGTATTTCTGCGATTTCATCGCAGCACAACCTTTAATCAGTTGTCTTTAAGTTTAATTTACTAAAGGCTGACATACAGGTAACATTCGGTAAAAAAATGAATGAATCCCCTCTCCCTTCTCATAATGTATTGGGAAGAACTGTACCTCTTCCTTCCTATCCATGTAAAATGGGAACCACAAATAACAAGCAAATTCCTTGCAACTCTGCATGTTTTAGTATTTTGTATTGACTGATGAGAATACATAGCACACTACCTTATCTACACTCTCCGACTCTTTAAATAGCACAAAGCCAAAACCCCTTGATCGCCCTGTGATAGGATCTAACTTCAGAGTGCAGTCTACAACTTCACCAAATTTGGAAAAGTAGTCCTTCAGATCCTTCTTTGTAGTGTCCCAGCTAAGGCCTCCTATAAACATTTTCCTGTGAAGACAAAAAGCAGTATTAATATAGTCAGAAAAGTTGAACTTTACCTTAAGGTAAATTTACCTAAATCAATAACACACCTTTTCCATTTCACACCAATTTACTGGGCAGCATATTAAGATATTCTTCTTACATAGCCACACATCAAGAACATCCTATTCCAGATACAGTTTGGCTTCTCACTGCTGCTCCCTAATAATTACAGAATAGTGAGCAAGCAGCAAATTAAATCTTTCAACTCATTAAAGATAACTGTGTACCCAAATTTAAGGCTGTACATTAAGTGTTGTTAAATTACATATTAGATATCGTTAGCAGAAAAAAAAATCATAGCTTCAAATTTCTCTTCCAAATCGTCATTAAACTTGTCAAAAGGCTATGCAGTGTCCACTGATCACAGCAACCAGCATCCTGTCTATGCTGAAGCTCCTTAACTTTGTAATAGTTATCATTAACAAAGCTCTCAGCACATAAAATGGAAAATTCTTTAGTCTCACAAATTGTGAACCAACTTTTTTGATGTGCTAAGAGTCCTTAATAAAGGCAAATCAGTAATTTAGTGAAAATAACCCAATGAAAGCAAAAATCCACTAATTAGATTTACTTACAGTAGAACCTCAGTTAACCAGCAATAAAATTGTTAAACCACCAGGACAAAACCAAAGATACAGTCAAAAAATGTTAAGGTAAGTCCTACTAACATTATTGTGGCAAAATGTGTGAAAGCTCAAATCTGGCAACTCTGTGATCCTTTTTACATCTGCTCCCTTTGTCTAAAAACAAAAACCAAAAAAGACTGACCTATACAACCTATCCTTTAAAGAAACAAGACTGGAAATTTTTGTTTTAAGGATAAACTGTCAGAATTTGTTATTTGAGAACTAAAAATTTCACCATGGAAAAAACCATGCTTGCTCAAGTTTTCTTTGTACCTGGGGATGGGTCAAGGATAGGACTGGGAAATGGTACTGACTTCCAGCTCTAGTAAGACATTCAATTGGGCTTTCATTACAAAACATCTCCATCTTGTGGGCTTTTAAGATACTGCCACTAAAGCTCATTCTCTCCCCACAGATGCCTGATTAACTGAGGTGTTACTGATCTGTTCTCTTAAACCAAACTTGTTTTACTTCTGACAAAGCTACCTTTTAGTACAAAGTCTTACTTAAGGCATATGCTGAACTTCCCGTTTCAGGACAGGTTTTCAATTGCATTTATATTCTGAAGAGGGCCATTTATATGTTTAGTTTTCAAGATTCCTCAAAAATCCCCATGCTTAAATTAACACTTTTACCTCTTTTGGTATTTTAAAATAAAATGAACATGAAAAAACATCCATAATGTTGTGTAGGTATTTTAAATGTTTATTTTACTGTTCCATGGAAAAATTTTTTTCAATACAAGTTTTTATACAAGTTCTTTCATTAAAATTTTACTTCTAATGTACAATCCTTATTCCTGTAAATGCTATGACAACCTTTTTTGTCAAAAAATACCTTTCAGTCACAGTGAAAAGACCTGATTTTTAACCTAAAGATCCAGAGTACTTCCTTCATAAAGTTCATTACCAACATTGATCCTTTCAAGACATGGATACTATCTTTTTAAATTTGAGATAGAACTATAACAAGTAACGAGCTCTTGTTCAGAGCCATGGCAAGTTTTAGAAGACACAAATGTCCATCAGTAATTAAACTTTAAAATTGTTTCAGCCTAAAAGCATCAGAATTGTAACACAAGCCTCATTTTAAAAAGTTTAAGGTGAACAAAAGTCTGTCTGGTCTACTATTCAGGTATCAAGACAGAACTTATTTTGATTTTATTTAACCAAACCCATATTTGTATTGGGAAAGTATCCTTAATTGCCACAACTGTGTTTCACAATTAGAAGTCAATTTTTTTATACATACTAACTCATCAATTGGCTCAAGTAAAGTGTTCTCTGTGCAAACTCCCACTTTTAATAGTTTATAGAAGATATTAAAATAAATGTGCCTACCCTTTGAGTTAAAAAGGTTCCTCACTAAAGATATTATCTCCTCCTAAATAATCCAATCCCATTTATCCAGAATATTAACTATTCTGGTAGACTATCAGTGGTACATATTCCATGAAATGATTACCTTTCTCAAACAAAATTAAAGAATACATGGTAAAACTTCAGCTATGCAACACACTTGGAGAATGAGGAGCCAAGAATTCCACCTTCCTTGGGGCTAGCATCCCGACATCCCAAATGGACATGGTTCCAGTCCTGGCTGCTCCGCTTTCAATTCAGCGCCCTGCTAATCCAACTGGGAAAGCAGTGGAAGATGGCTCCAGTACTCAGGACCCAGCCAGCCATGTGGGAGACTGAAATGGAATTCCAGGCTCCTGGCTTCCGCTTGGCACAGCCCAGGCTACTGAGGCCATTTGGGAAGTGAAGGAGCTGATAGAAGATCTGTCTCTCCCTCTGTAACTCTTTCAAATAAGCAAACACGTAAAAAAGAGTTCCACTTTCCTTAAAGTGCTGCCTAATCCTTCCCAGTTATTTAACCTTCAATTTCTTGGAATGATTTTTTTTTTTCTACAGCACATATTCTTCTGCCTTCATAATCAAATACAGTAATTCTAACATTCTATGGGTCAGTCGTCATTAATTAATATGTCCTATTCTAGAATGCTTGCAGCGGCCTCTACAATTAGAGCAATTACACCCAAGTGCATCTTAGTTCCTTACTGCTTTTAACAAGTTCTAGTTTTTCATTCTGCGAGAGTAATCACCCATGTGTTTTAAAAATGTCTTTTTTTCCATTCTGCATGGAAAGTAGCCAGTTCCCAAACTTTCCAAATTTTGCATAAAGTAAAAGGCAATTACTTCTGAGTAGTCACATAAGTGGCCCTTCTTTAATACAAATGTATTAATTTTGGGGCAGCCCAAAAGCATTATTGTTTTCTTCTGCTCCAATTAAAAATGACTGTTGGACAACAGATATCCAGACAAGTGAATACATTACAATGATCACAAACTATACCAAGTCCATTTCATTTTTACTAAATGGAATACATTAAATCCATTCCTTCTTTATTCCATAGGCACAGCAATCAGTAACTGTACAGCGTAGCGCGAAAAGGTTTACTATGAAAAAAATGAACACTTATTTCAGCACCTCTAGAATGTTGGCGTAAGCTCTCCCTCAGATATGCATAAGGTAACACCAATTTAGATTACCTGCATTTTATAAAACCGTATCTTGCTTAAAGCACAAGGCCTGTCCAGAATGTTGGCGTGAGGTCTCCCTCAGATATGCATAAGTTAACACCAATTTAGATTATCTGCATTTTATAAAACCGTATCTTGCTTAAAGCACAAGGCCTGTCCAGATTATCCACTATCACTCCTGGAGAGGTGCACTTTAAAAAGCCGCAATGACAGAACTTCAGAAAAACCCAAAGCAGCCAAGACATAAACTAAGACTTGTTCAAGTAGCAACAAAAATGGTCCCAAATGCTACAATGTAAGCTTGAAATGTGATCCTGGGGCAAGCATCTGGCACAGGTTAAGACTCTGCTTAGGAAGACTTCACCCTTTATCATAGAGCGCCCAGGTTCGAGTCCTGGCTCTGCTTCAAATCGCCTCTTCCTGTTAATGTGCACCCTGAAAGGCAGCAAATGATGGTTCAAGTCAGGGTCACTGACACCCATATGGGAAACCTGGGCTCCTGACTTTGGCCTGGCTCAATTCTGGTTGTTAGGTGCATTTGGGGGTGTTAACCAGCAAGATCTTTCTCCCTTCTCCATCGGCCTTTCAAATAAAAGAAATTCTAAAACACTGATTTATATTACAAATTGATCCTAAATTTTAAGAGAACCAATAATCCCAATTCATCTATATTAGCAAAATTTATTTCCTCAATCCTAGCAATGAACTAAATATTCAGTACCCCAAAAGCAACACAGTATTCAATTTAAAATACCTACTCAACACCAGAAGTCTCTATGCTTTCAGATACTGATACTACACGGAAGGAAAAGCAAATGCTAAGCATCAAGTTATACAGCTCAGGACAGATGACTATTCAAATTGCTATGTGGTGTCATTCAGGAATTTAGACTGCTTTGTGGAACATTTTATCAATTTTTAGCACAAGGTCAGAGGCAGTAAAGTCAAACCGCCTAGGTTTAAACCCTAACTCTGTTACTGAAAGTATGACCCTATGTAAAAACATAAAGCTCCAACATTGTTTCCCCATTTGTAAAGAGCCTACCTCATATAACTGAAGTGAGAATTAAATACATTACTACAATTAAAGGGCAAAGAACAGAGTCTGACACATGCTAAGTACTTAATAAATTTATCATTTCAAAGGGGCAAAGAGTAAAGATAATAAAGCAACTCTTTCATTTATTTCATGGCTTAAATTTTTAACTTCATAGGCTTTATAAACCTTCCAACATTAAAGGGAAAGAGGGAAAAAGTTTTTGTTTACCCCGTTAATTTAGCTTATCTTCTTATCTACTAAAGTTACTAGGTTTAACATTCCTAAGTCAACAGGAAGTATTTTATTTAAAGATACTTTACACTGCAATACTTTATTCAAGGCAAAATGACAAACAATACACTTCCTCCAAATTTTGGAATAGGAACCAAAAAAAAAGTATTATTATTAAACACTCCCTAACAACTTATGATCATATATTATTTGTGGCTTAGTAACAACTTCTAATAACAAGTTCTGACAGTTTAAAGACTACAACAGAATGCCAACCTGTATACCCTGCAAGTATACACTGGCCAAACACTGCTGCAGCAAACACACCATTAACCCTCATTTAAATAATCTAATATCTTCTTATTGCAATTATTCTTTTAAAACCACAAAATGACAAACTACAATGAAATCTCACCAGCACACAAGACAGGAGCATTTTTCTTTATACAGTTTGATTTTGAAGCCACCATCTACCTATGGGAAAGAATTCTGCCTTCCAACTGTCACTACATGGTTTGGGAGTGGTTTTAGAATTTACATAAAAGCCACTCTTGTCTAGTTTATAATGCACACAACCAGTTTTTAATTACTTAAAACTAGCAAGAAAATTAAGGTTAGCCAATGAAGTTCTTCATATAGAAACTTCAGTCAATAAATTTTAAATTCCAGTATTATTTTTCAATACCAAACTCCAACTAGTATTTCTCCTGGCTTTCTATATACTCTAAGATGACATTTTCAAGCTAACTGTGAAAAAGAATCCCATTTTTATTCAAGACAAACAATGGATGAAACCTCTTCAAAGCAAGATTAATTCCTCTATATTAAACCTCATTACTCCATACTTTAGAATGAAGGTAAATTATTACTAAAAAAGAAATCTAGAGCCAGCATTGTGGTGCAGCAGGCTAAGCCACCACCTGTGACAGCGGCATCCCACATCAGAGTGCCGGTTCAAGACTCAGCTGCTCCATTTCCAATCCAGCTCCCTGCTAATGCACCTGGGAAAGCAGAGAATGATGATCCAGGTAGTTGAGTCCCTGCCAGGCACAGAGAAGACCCGGATAGAGTTCCAGGCTCCTGGCTTCGGCGTGGTCCAGCTCCGGCCTCTGCGGCCATCTGAGGAGTGAACCAGCAGGTAGAAGATCTCTTTCTTTCCCTGTCACTCTGCTTTTCAAATAAATAAATCTTAAAAAAAAAAAAAAATAAAGAAAACAATAAACAAGACCATTTTTAAAATAAACTAAATACTTAACCCAATATTTTCCTTTTTTCTTCATTACAAACTAGCAGAGATTTCAATTTTAACATTCTTAGTAAACTCAATCCACTTTCTAAGGTAAACTCCCATTTACCTAGATAAGGAATGGTGTTTCCTTACCAAAAAGTTAAAGTTCTGGTTAACTGAGATCACTACACAATCATAATTCCATGAAGTTTTCTATTAGAAGTCAATTCGGATAATTTTTATCTTTCTTGATGAATTTGTACACTCTTTCAGTGCTTTAAAATGTTACTCCCCAATGGTAAAAGGGAAAATCTCCAGGAGATTCATTCCACGACATTGTCTGTTGGTTGCTTTTTGAGTAAGACAAAAGACTAAAGAGGAAGGGGCTTTTTTACAAATTTGAAGTCTAGATAAGCAGGAGTTTACAGCACATTACTCAATAGTTAAAATGATTACCAACCACACACTGCCAGTAAAGAGGAGTCTTCCCTCCCACTTATAAACATTCTGAAACACCTAGCACCAAGGCAGGACATAATACTCCAGGAACTAAAACATGCTTACCTTTACTCCACAGGAGTAAATCACTGGCAGTATCAACTATTAGAGCACTGGATAAATACAAACTATAAAAGCAGGCTATGTAGTCAGTCTTCCTGTGGTGAGCATTGTTTCCAATACATAAGTCAGCAAACCAAGTTAACAAACATGTTGTATTACCTGAGACCACACAGTTGAAAATGAAGTAACACAAACAGATCCCACGCTTTCAGCATCCAGTTCAGTGCCCTATCTACCAAAATACTGAAGTAAAACTAAAGCCAAATCAAACCTGGGACTAACAGAAGTTATGTTCCACTCCATTTGTGAATCTGCACACACTTGAAGTGCAGTTTTTAAGTGGAATAAGAAAAAAAGTTATTCCTTTTTAAATGTTTTCAAGCATGGCATGTATTATCACTTGAAGGCTAAAACTAAGCATCCTTCATGTGGGCCATAAATCACACAACAGCAGACTCAACGGTTTTCTGCTAAGGCAGCCTTACAGATCAGAGTCCCCAAGGCATCATTTAAAAAGTATGCACTAAGTTTACAGAAGGGGGTCACATGGCCTGAGGAAAAAAAAACACAGTTTAAAATAAGTATGCTTAGCTCAAAAAGCAGCACTGAAAAACTTAATGACATTCTCCAATTTCGAGGCTTAAAAGGTCAGGTGATTTTTACTATCTTTCATATTAGATGAGAATTTGAAATGTAAACAATATTACTCCTTTAGATGTGCACCTTAAGATTTGGGGCATAATTTTCCAGTTTTAACCCAAGAAATTTGTCAAAGTTTCCAAAGAATGCAAAAATTGAGACCCATATCTACATGGGACTCAACTTCACATTTAACTCAATTTCACTGAATCAGAGGCCAGTAAATTTGAAGAGACTGTTCTAAAAGTACTGTCCTACAAAGAAAACAATGTCAGACTGCCCTAGAAGTACTAGGGTTATCGATTATGATCTCAAATATTCAGAACAAAATTACGTGAGCTTTCTTTCAAAAGTAGACAGGTGACAACCTATAGTGGGATTCCAAGACTAGATCTAATACACTTTTAACAGGAAATAACTGCTATGCTTTGGCTGAACTGCATGAAATTACTTGGCTTCCTACCCAACCCAATGCAGGAAAATCAACATAACGCATCTACTACCTTGTTAAACTGTCTGAATGCTAACAACACTCTAATTTTCCAATGATCTTTAAGTTTTGAAAACTCTCCCCCCATGTAGCTGCTAAATGGTCATGTATATTTTGCCAGACACTATGTAAGTTTAAAGTACCTACCCCAAAAGAACTGCAGCACTGCAGAGAACAGAATGAGTCCACACCATAAAGTAAAATGGGAAACTCCAATGCAACTGCTCTTAAGTAAAAACTAGGAATGTTAATGCTGGAAAGATTAAAGCAAGGTGAACTAAGGAAGACATTTTACTATGGAATAAACAATTATTCTCAAGCCCCATAGTAAACTGTAGAAACATCCACTAGAAGTATAACAAAGGATGCGGTCCTAAAAATAGCTCTTCATTCTTATGTGTAAAAGGTAAAGGGAAAAAAAACTATGTCCACAACAAACTGACTTTTAAAACCTTTTACAGAATAACCACTTTATTTTCAAATTGGATTTCTAGAAAGACATGAATGCAGAACTGTGCGCAACAAATCAAATTCAGACAATCTTATATCTACGAACCAGTCTTACCCTCACTATTGATGTTACAAAACTTGCCCAATATCCCTCAAAGTTGGAGACGGAGAAGGGAACAAATATGGTGATAAGTACCGAGACACACACACACCAAAAAAGGGTTTAAAGGACTTGAGAACATTTTTTCATAAAGAACTTATACATTATTTAACTATAAATTTAACTTAAACTGAAACTCAGTAGGATCTTATCTTCAGTCGTGACAAAATCACTCATAAGTATTTGTCAATGTTTTCAAAGAAGTCACTCACAAAGTTATAGGAATACATAGCTTTCTTTAGTGGGGCAAGTAAAATTCTTGTCAAAACACTGTCCTTCAACCCTGGAAGTTTATGGTCATTCATTTCAAATTACCAAAATCAGGTAAAATTGATAATGGAAAAGAATGGCTTAAATCTTTATAATTTGCCAATATTACCTAGCAGTAAAACTGATCAGTGTCCAGTAGTCACCAAGCAGGGAGAACAAGCTTCACATATTTTTATTCTGTACGTTAAACTCCAACCCCACTTTTTCATATTTTTTTCGTTCTTTTTGATTTTCCCTTTGCTTACTGTTTCCATCTGCTTTTTTCCCAATCTAATACTGGACAGATTTCAGTGACTTTTATAGTAATATGCAAATCTTATGTAAAATTTAAATTATATACCAAATGGCCTCTTAAAAATAGTCTGTGCAGACAGAAACTATCTACAAACTAGAGGCCTCCTCATCTCTAGTGGTGGTAGATACAAACTCATAAAAAACCCAAATATGATCCTGAGGGATTTAGGAGAGGGGAAAGGCGGAATAAAAAGAACAATACTCAACCTACCAGCCTCCAAAGAGAAGTCATGCAATTGTGAATACATGTCAACCAACCGTAATTAACATTCCAGCCAAATCACACTGAAAATAAAAAATCTGGTAAGAGCTGTAGTGGAAAGCCACACTAGCCCACCTCTGAATAGTACATACTCAATTCTTATTAAAGGTATCTTTACAAATACGGTGCAAATGAGACATACATTTTTACATAACAGTACTAGTTAAATGGTTTTACTTTTGACATCTCCAGAATACTTCAGTATAACATGCAAAATATTTTAAACACACAGTATTTTATAGCAAGGAGTCTTCATATGTAGCATTAAACTTAATTACAACGAAGTTTTTCAACAACAAAAATCAGATGTGAAATTCAGTAATATTTTTCTTGTCCAGATATGCAGATACCATTACTAATTATATTTAGCTTAAAGTGGCCAAGCTGCAATTACATGCACTGCTGGAGACCAAACACCACGTTAATGGCTTCAACTTTGCCCAAAGATTATGCACAATGCTAAAAAGTTTTTATATCCCAGGTACAAGATATCCTACGGTAACGTCTAAAACTTCCTGGGGATCAATGGGCAACTAACCAGTAAACAGCTCTGTATGTTATGATTACTGAAACCGTTATAATACAGAAATAAAATTTAAAAGTTTTACCATTCTTCCCGCTGTGCCGCCGCTGCTTCAGTGTGTCGTGGGGAGGAGTTTGAATGGCTAGGGAATTAACAACCGGTACAGCAACCAATCAAAATTCTAGTTTTAGTTTTTGACATTGTAAGGGTTAAAAACTTTTCATTCATTTACACTTCAGTTCAACAGTAGATAACTACAAAGGCAGCTGCTCTGTGATCTGAAAACTCAGGGCTAATAGAAAACCTGTCCCAAATATTAAGTTATGCAATCATTTTGGTGCCTCTGTCCAAACAATTCAGAAAGCAAAAACCAAAATGTTAATGACTTAAATTTCCAAATATTTGACATATCCCTTTCTCAAACTAAACTACACAGAATTCAAGATTAGCTCTCCTTAATAGAAAAAACCTCATATCCCCTTCCACCTCCACTCCCCCAAAGCCAGCACAATCAAAACAGCCTGACAAGTCTGCCTGGGCTGGGGGTTATTGAATTCTATACTCCAAAGTGCTTCTTGCCCTTCCCACCCACTCTCCCTCCAAGTCCTGGGCTATTTCCCAACGAAGGAATTCGTGTTTTCCAACACTGGATTAAAGCGGTATTTCACGTTTACCTTCCACCAACACTTTAAAGTGAAAAATACACACACATACATACATAATACACACACACACACTCCCTATTACAAAAGCATTTACCCAAGATCAGTCATCAGTATGGGAATAAGAAAACCCAACCAGATATCCCCCGCTTAGTTCCCCTAACTCCTGTATTATGTTCCCGATCCCAAGTGCCGCATTCCAGCCTAGTAAATGCAGCTTTAGGTAGTATATACAACTGTCACGCCAATCAGAGAAAGCAAGTTTGTACTCGAAGACAGGGAGAAGAAATCCCATAGCATAATACTAGATCTGTTTATTTTATCAAGGAGGGTGAGTCGGCCTCCTTTTATACTGGGTGAGAAAAATCGAGAGGCCAAAACGCTCCTGGGCACCCGAAATTAAAGGAGGGTTGTAAAAAAAATGGAAACTGCACAAAATCTGTACGAACAGTTGGCGAGCCCAGAGCCCAAGAGTCGAGGGCGCGAAAAGGGTGCGCGTTTGGAATAACGGCGGGGGACAGGGCAGGAAGCAGCAGCCCCGGTCCAGCGCAGGCCCTGCCGCTGCCCGGGAACTTGCCGCGCCGCGGAGCAAGCCCGAGTCCGACAGCACCGGCACGTCCCACCAGCCCCGGGCGGCTCAGGGCCGATGGAGAACCCACTGCGCGACAGCGTTCGGTGGAGAAAGCGAGCAAACCCCAAGGCGAAACTTTACTCCACAGACTAGGCAAAAGTCGGCCCGGAAGCCGACGCGGGAGCAGCGCAGGTGGGCAGTCCGCACGCCCCCAAAGCGTGTGCTTACAAACAATCGCAGCGACTCGGGCTGCCGGGAGCAGCACCGAGCGGACCGTAGTAACCCGGGAAGGACGACTTTTTGTGCCGCGGCGTGTTTATGCCCGGACTTCATTAAACGTTCGGGAAAGCGAGGGACAGCAGGAAAGGGGGTGGGGGGGAGATACCCCCGACAGGCGGGAAAAAAATTCCTGGCGGCTCTGCCGGTGGGAGGAGACCCACGACGAGGGAGGAAAGGAGGGCGGGCCGGCGAGCGGCATGGTGACGGCTAAAGGTGGAAACGTGTGTGATGGGGGAGGGGGCGGCGGCGGCAGGGGAAGGAGGAAACGAGGGCCCCGGGGAGCCCAACGGGGAGAAGGGGAGACCGGTGCACGGAGGCTGCAGAGGGACCCGGACGGCGGGCGAGAGCGGGAACGAGGCCTAGAGGCGGGGAGCCGGGAGGGGGAGGGGGCCTACTTTGTCCTCACTATCTAGGTACGCCACTTGCAGTTTTTTAATCCATCTCTTAATTGTTGGGGTGTCTTCTTCTGCCTCTCTGACTTCTGACTGACTGCTTAGGGGTGTCTTACTACTATTCCGCCCCCGGTCCCAGATCCGCTTCCCGCCGCCGCCGCTGCCCCCTGCGCCGCCGCCACCATGGCTCCCTCCTGCTCGCCCGCCGAGCCGCCTACCGCCGCCGTTGCCGCCTCCGCCGCCGCCGCCCCGTCCCCGCCGAACTGCTCCTCCGACATCGTGCTACTGCCGCCGCCGCCGCCGCCGCCGAGACTACACCCGCCGCCGCCGCGAACCGAAAACTAGCAGCAAAAGTAATCCCCTCCGCTGCCGCGCGCCCGCTCTACCTCGCGAAGCACACAAGACGGAGGCGGCGCGCGCGTGCCTGCAAAGGCTCCGGTGCCTCTCCCTGGCCTGCCCCCCTCGCCTCCCACTCTCGCGCGGCGCGCACTCCCGCTCTTTCCGGCTGCACTAAAAAAGAATTAAGAAGCAGCGGCGGCCACTCTTGCCTCCTCCTCGCTTTAATGGCGCCGCCGCGGACCACCTAAAATGGCCGACGGAAGAACGGCGCGTCCCGGTCACGTGACGCCAGAGCGCGCCCTTTGCGCCTCCCCCGCCCCCTCTACCGCTAGTTTTCTTCCCCCTTCCTCCTCGGGCCCGCCCTCCCGCTCCCTTTTTAATGCCTTCCTCGCACGCGCCGCGCCGCGCCGCGCAGCGTGTGGCCTTTAAAAGGAACCGGAAGTGGCGTGGGCTAAGACCGCCGCGCGCGGGACCACCGAGAACAAGGAGCGCGCTTTCGAAGGGGCGGCTAGAGGGGCTGCTTCCTCGGCCCTCAGCCCAGCCGAGGGTTTCTGGATGCTCCGTAGCGGGATGGAGCGGCCGCGGCGGATCGGGGTGTGTTTGGCACTTCAGACGAACGCCACTGTCCCTTGGGCTTCTGGAAGCGCCCGGCCGGAGAAAGGATGCTGCTCGTGCCCCGGCTCTGTCGCTTGCGGCGCCCCGGGGCCGCCGAGCCCGGACCGGACGCGCGTACCCCGACCGCCGGCCGCATCAGCTGCACCTGCCGGGGCCGCTCGGGCCGGTGAATTTGAGCTCTCCCCTTGCAGCCGCTGCGTTGCTGGCCCGGCGTGCGCAGGCTGAGGCCGCTGACGATCCGGGCCTCTTTTGTGTCTTGAGATAACGTTCTCCGATTAAGATGTTGGTTTTGCTTGCCTGCTTGTCTCCTGAAATTTGTCGGCCAAAGAAGCAGGTAACTTGCTTGTTTTAAGGTACAAGGGTTGTTTTTGTTTTGCCTGTGTTGTTTGTAAATCTGAAAACCTACCACGATTCTTTTAAATTACTAAGCCTGGGGAACAGTGTCCAGTCAACCAAGAATTCGCTCGACTTTTTTATTTAGTCCTTGTATTAAAGTATACGAGTATAAATACCATGAATCATCTTTACGAGGTTTCTGTGTTGAGGTGGTGGTGGTTTTTTTTTTTAAGACATCGTTAATCGTTCCACTCAGGGCAACAGTAAAATTATTCTTTAATAGACCTATTGGAAATTCCAAGTGCCTTGGCCAAGAACTGGATTATTCAGGTTTTGGGATTCGCCGCTTCCTGCCGTCTCTTCCTAGAAGTGAAGTTTCTAGGAACTTCCTGTAGTCAACAAATACTTGGTGTTTATATGTCCAGCCTCTGAGGAGACAAAAGTTTGCAAACTACAGCCAGAAACTTGAGAGTTTAAATATTTGTTTTCAATTATGTAGTTAAATGAATTGGTATTAATCCTACACCATCCAAAAATCTAAAGAAACATTAAAAATAACCACTTGAGTTGAACGTGCGTTGCAGAAGAATTAATACTCAAGATTCTGACTCAAGTTCTGGAAACATCTTAAAAATATAATCTTGCCAAACTCCTGTATGAAGCAACTCAGAAAAATGCAATGGCAAAAGAGTTTTAAAGTGGTAGTGACTTTCACATTTCTCTCCATCTGCCAAGATACTTGCCTAGAAACCTATGGGTGGGGGCTGTCTCTCTGCCTCTCAGATAAATAAATAGAGAGAAAGGGGGATGGACTTGTGGTTTGTGGCTTGCAAACCACATATCACAGTCCCTGGTTTTCTTGCTCGGTCTGCCCAGCTTTGCCTGTTGCGGGCATTTGGGATATGAATCAGCAGGCAGAAAATATCTCTCTCACTCTCTTTTTGCCTTTCAAATAAATATTTTTTTAAAGAATATTTAAAAGAGAAGGTGATTGTGGTGTCTTTTGAGCTTGTTATCAATAGACTTGCCTGTGTTTTAGTAATACTTTATCAAAGGCTCTATTTTAATTCACATCAGCCCTGCAGCTTCAAGCAAGCCAGGTCTGCTTCCAGGGAATTAAAGGGCTCTTCTCTCTGCCATCTCACCTCATCTGTGGCATAAAAACACCTCTCATAGGCCACATTGCGGCACAGTAGGTTAAGCCACAGCCTGTGAGACCAGCACCTCTTATCACAGTCAGTTGGAGTCCTGACTGTTCTGCTTCGAATCCAACTCTGCTAATGTGCTTGGGAAGTTAACGGATGCCCAAGTACTTAGGTCCCTACTACCTATGTAGGAGACCTGGATAGATTTCCAGGCTCTTGGCTTCTGGATTGTGGCCATCTAGGAAGTGAACCAGTAGTTCTGTCTCTTCCTCTCTCTTACTCTGCCTTTCAAGTGAAATAAATCCTTTTAAAAAATTTTTTTAAAACTTCTCCAAAACTTTTATTACACATTCACAAGCAAAAATTTAATGTTTAAGTGGCTAGAGATGCTTGTTTGGTCTGACCCAAACCATTGGGAAAAAAGCAACATCTGCAGCACATCAGAAATGCCATTGTTTTATGAGGCTCCCAGAATGTTTGAAGTAACACATCAAAATGCTGGATTGTCCATGAATTCAGTCTCTTTGTAAAGTGTCCACTCTGCAGGAAAAAAGATTGGAGGATTTTGTAAAAGACAAAGGAAAATTCACTTGATCGTTAAGCTGGAAACACTTTTACCCAGGACAAGAAGCATCCACCTAAGTCAAGGAGTTGCAGTTTTGATCTGCTAGATACACTGTACAGAGTAAGAGTCCCTGTGCTCAGATTTTTTGAAATGGATGTGTATTCCAGTTAGCCAGCTAGAGTAAACTGAGAAACAGCAGGAAGAATCCATTTCCTATACAAGGTACATATACCTGAGCAGATAACCATGTTAAATGGCTTTTAGCTACTTGGACCCGTGTGCTCACTTGGAGACCATACTTGAGTAGGACTGAAGCATTTTGGTGAACAGGTAGCTGTGATTCTCAATAAAGTGAAGAGTTGTCCATATGGTGAACATTCTCTGTTATCACCCTTGGCGATCAGAAAGCCCACACTTCAATCAGAAAATAAAGACCCTATTAACTGAACAATTGGGGTTATTTCAGCCACAAAGTCCATCTACTATAGAGTCTGAATTATCCTTAATCATGGGGGTGTCAAAAGGGTGCCTTTAGAAGCAACCAAAGAAAATCTAACTCAAAAAAGATTCAAGAATAAGGAAAATTAATCAGCTCACTCCAGACTTTCATACCCAACTGCTTAACCTTGCCATTTGAATGTCCCTAAGCATCTCAGTTTTAGATGTCCAACTCAACTTTCTCTACAAATCTGATTTCATGTTCCTCATCTCAGTAAATGACACCTGCACCCATCCATATGCTCCTGTCAAAATTCAGGGTCTCATGTTTAATATCCCCCCTCTCTCGCCCACAAAGCCAATCACCAGCTTCCAAGATAAGTCTTCATTAAACTAAATGCTTCCTAGAACATAGATACTGGAGTAATTTCTACTTCGTTTATTCACATTCTATCATGTAACATGTTTATGGCATGAGTATATTTCTGGTGCTAGAAATCTAAGTGACCAAAACAAACAAGGTCTTTGCTTTCATGGAGCTGACATTCTAGTCAAAGAGATAAAGGACACACTAAATTAGTAGATAGTATACTTTTGGGCGAGAGTAGGAAGAAAATAAGGTGCAAGAGGTAAATTATACGTGCTATACTGTAGTCAGAGAAGACCCTTTAAGGAGGTAACTTTGGTCCTGGAGGAAGTGGAGAGGAAAGACATGCACAGCTTAGGAAAAACTTTGCAAGGCAAAGGGTATGTCAGGCAGGAGTGTGCTTGGTGCTGACAATGAACAATGGAGGCCAATGTGACTGAATACAAAGAAGGAAAGAAAGTGTAATAGATCATACCTGAGAAGTATACAGGAATGAGCTCACCCAGAGACCAGTGGTGAGCTGTAGTTAGCACCATACTGTTTAAGCTATAAAAGTTACGAGAAGCCAAAGAAGAGTTTTGAGCAGAATAAGGACATAATCTGACTTAAACTTTATTGTAGATCATTCTGGGTATTGTATGGTTAGTGAACAATAGGATAGCATCAAGAAGATGAGGTAAAAGGCCATTGTCTAGAGCAAGTGTTGGGCCTAGCAATTGAGACCCTGGTTAAGGCAGAGACAAAAATACAGACACACAGGAAGCACACATCTGTTGGTCCACTCCCTAAATGTGCACAACAACCAGGGCTCGGCTAGACTGAAGCCAAGAACTGTGGACTCAACCAGGTCTCCCATGTGTGAGGCAGGAACCCAGTCACTTGAGCCACCACCACTGCATCGCAGAGTCTACACTAGTAGGAAGCTGGAGTCAAGGGCAGAACCAGAACTCAAACTCAGGCATTCCAATATGGGATACAGGCATCTTAACTGGCGTGGTAACTGCTAGACCAAATGCCAGTCCCAATGCCAAATTCTGAAGTAGGTGAGATGAGATGAGAGTCAGTGCAAAGGTTGACTGAAGACGGTTCATCTGTTCTAGGAGGAAAAGATTACAGATGTAGGTCAGTCAGGTTGCTGTTAAACGTATTAGTTCTAATTCCTTGTTTTTCTTACTTAACGAGTCTCTCAGTGACTGAGAATGTGGACAGGGAAGGAGATTAGGAAAAGTGTTAGAGCAAATTCATGAGGCCCAGGAAACTAAGATGTTGATTAGGACCAAAGCATTGCTGAATGAGCTGGAGCCAGGTATCAAACCCACCTGCTCTGATGATATGGGACATGGTGTCTTTTTTTTTTTTTTTTTAGGTTTATTTATTTATTTGAAAGAGTTACAGAGAGAGAGGTCTTCCATCCACTGGTTCACTCCCCAATTGGCCGTAATGGCCAGAGCTGTGCCGATCTGAAGCCAGTAGCCAGGAGCTTCTTCTGTGTCTGTCACGTGGGTGCAGGGGCCCAAGGACTTGGGCCATCTTCTACTGCTTTCCCAGGCTATAGCAGAAAGCTGGATTGAAAGTGGAACAGCCAGGACCTGAACCGTTGCCCATGTGGGGTGCTGGCACTGCAGGCAGTGGCTTTACCTGCTATACCACAGCATCGGCCCCAAGGGGACATGGTGTCTTACCCAGCATTTTAACCACCACGACAAACACCTATACCTGCCTTGATTCTTGATTACATTCAAATCACTGCTTTCTGTCC